CTACCCTCTAAGGATGCATTAAGCACGCGTCAATGATTAGCCGTTAGTTCCCAGTAAATAGAGGGCCATGTATCGCTAGTGCGTTTGTTGCCCTGCTACGGGGGGCAGTTTTTCTACGCGCGTATCACATTACTTTTGTATAGCGAACTGACCGCTCTTGCAGCGTTTGGCATGAGTTATCCCTCTTGAGCAAAGATGGCGGCTAATCTTGTGTAAACGTTAGGCCAAGAAGAAAATAAACACTGTCGTACGCCTTTTTTCGGACATGTGGTCAGAATGAAAACAAGTTTCTCTGTTCAACTTCCAAGGTGGGGTCGTAAAATATGAAAATGGAATAACAAATACAAGGCACTCCTCTAATCACATCGACTACGGGCACTGCAAGGAAGGACAAGATATCTACATTGGATTGAAGAAAACAGAAGAATAACAGGTGAAAAGGTTATAAGTGGAACTAGCTAGAATTTTAATAACTGCAAAGAGGACGGTAACTGCCTTGTAAGAAAAGAGTCACGATTTGAATTATGTCTATGCAGTATTTAACACATTTGGTAACTTCAGCGACTCTCTAAAGACCAAAAGCTTTTCAAATCCACCACCGCTGTATCCAGGGTAGCGACCAAAAAGGAGACGCAGAATGAAGTATCAAAACGGAGCACCTGCAAGAAGGTGACTACAAATCGACATTTTTTAATATGGTGAAATGCCCCAAAATGCATTCTATAGCTTCAATTAACTAAAAGGGCAGTCCTAAGGCAGACATTAACGAGCTGGAACCAAATACTCCGATAATAGTTGGCAAGTGTCAAAGAAATCGCAAAATCCTGCAAGCACTCTCAAGCTGCGATGAAAGCAGAAAATGATGTTAAGTGAAAGAGAAGATAATGTAAAATTTTTTGTTTCTAACGCATTAACGTCATCACTTTCGTTTCGTCTCAGTCGAATGAAGGAACAGAAGCATAGACAGAACGTTGAAATGGTCAATGCTATGTACAGATTAGGGAGTTGGAGGACAAGCGCAGAGAAGCGGGGAAAAGAGCTTCCTTTTTTCTTAAAACACTGGCTCCTACACATAAAGGGAAAGATAAAACGTGGCGCTCACGGGAGCTATTGCCAAATTTACACAAGAAGGCGGAGGAGAAAGAGGAGACGAAAAATAAAATAAGGGTGAAGATGGAGGCAGAAGTAGTGTCAGTGAGGGGGAGGCGGGTGGTTGTAAGAAACATCCTCCACCACTGTCTCCACCTCGTAGTCCGCCTCCACTGCCGAAGCATTCAGCAGAGCGGCTTCAGCATCCACATTAAGGTGGCAAATGAGGAGGCGCGTGAAGGCAGTCTGTGACTGCACCGAATTGAGCAGCTCGCTAGGATTGTTGGAGGCCGAGCGGAAGAGATTGGGTGCGATCACGGTGGCCAAATTGCGCGCGTCCATCAGGGAGGTGCACGCATTCTCCGGGCGTACCAGGTGCTGCAGAAAAGGAAGCAAAAAATAATTTGCTGGCGCATCACCTCGAGGTTAATTCGCGATTTTCTCCCTACATTCTCGGATACTTAACTACTGATGGCAGTTGCTATTCTATTGAGTCGATACTCGAATCTGCAGTTTTGAAATTTACACCTCTACAAAAATTTGGTCCGCTTTAGAGAGCATGAAATTGTATTAGACAAATCTAAACTGCTTTTGGTTTGAAGAATCGTTATCAACCATATTATTGCAACTTATTTATCGTCATTAGTTCCAAAATGTTACCCAGTCGATGATATTGATAACTGAGTCACTCAAAAGGAATAATCGCTGTTGTTTAAAAAAAATTGTGACTATTAAAGCACTAATGCTTCATTTTCGGAATAACATTTGATACTACTATTTATTCCTTTAGTCTTAATGAATGCATTTAAACCTTCTCACCCCAGTATTTAAATTTTACTCGTTGCGCATTCATCATAAACATTACCAAGAACCTAAAGACTACGCAGACCCAACTACTAGATCACTTTACCATTTTTGGTATCGTGACGCAATTTTTTTACTAATTATTTTTAGAAACAAGGGTCATTAAAGGCAAATAAATTTGTAAGAATTGTAAGACGAAACGAATATTTTAAATTTGTGGTAGTCGTTCTTAAAAGAGCCCCGCCCGAAAGCACAAATCATAGAAAGTTGTTGAGAAAATTATCGACACCTGCAATTAATTTTCACAGGAATGTTACGTTATTTCTCTTAACAAAAAAGTACACTGTATCATGCACATGTTATGGCCTCTATTAACAAATGAATGCCATTAAAAAGATAAGCTAATCCCCATTTCCAAAATAATTAGCGGTTGCAGAATAAAAACATTTATCTATTACCTGGTAGGAGAAGTAGGTAAAGGTAAAGGCAGCAAACTACTTTCCTGATTCCATTTAGGATGATAAAATCACTCCAAAACGTGATCACCAATGTTTCCTTCCAAGTTTATCAAATACTCGCTATCAATCCAATTTGGGCTCTGGTTTGACAACACATGTGCAATATTAGTTTTACTGATCTGATACAAATGGTGCTAAAAAGCCTAATGAGTTCAACATCGAATGGAGAAGTAACTATCACAGATTACAGTAAGGGCTTCGGTTAAATCAGCCGGAGACAAAAACACGGCAAACTAGCGGGGGTTGACCCAATAAGTAATCAACGCACCTGGCACAGCTTGATGAGATAAAGTAGCACCCTGCGATTGATTCCTGGCAGACGTCGCACCATGGCGCAGCACTTCTCAATCGGTTCCGCACCTGGCACTGCTGCTCCCACCGACTTCTCAAAGGACTCTGCCTCGACTGCCGCAGCAAAGACCTCTACAGTCAGTGCGGGCGGGACCAGCGGGGTTGCCATCTCACGCAGCCAAAGTTTAAGAAGAGCCGCAGCGAGATGTGGGTCGAGGAAAGAGCCCTTCTCGCTACCTCCACAGCCTACGGCAGTGCTACCACCGGCCGCCTCTCTGAAGCCAGTCAGATCGCCAGGCCAAAGGGAGCGAGGCGTAAGGAGCATGTACTCGGCGGGGCGAGAAGGAATGGGAGAGGGTTTGAGGGGGAGGGAGAAAGGACCAGTGAGAGCGGGGCAGTGAAGGAGGGCATTGTGGGTGGGGGTAGTAGGAGTGGGTGCAGAGAGGGTAGTAGAAGCCGGTTCTGGGGAGAAGACCTGTTGAGAGTGGCTCCAGCCTCTTGGTGGGGGACGGACGATGGTGAAGGTGGAAATGGGGTCACGGGAAGCCACTTCAAGCACGCGGAAAACCTCGAATAGCTTCTCAAGCTGGAACCGAACGGAAGTCAACACGTCTTGGTCGGCAGACACACTGAAATTAAAATTAGACAAAATCCCGGTTTTGAAAAGTTTATTCTCCAAAAGGAAAATACTATTTACTGAAGCGTTCAAACAAGATTTTTTTAGTTCTCAGGATGAATTCATGCTAATACAAATCTAACAGGACATTTTTAATTGTTGGAATTCACCAGAGCATATTTACAAAAAAAATAAAGTGGCGATAAATTGTTACAATGCCAAAAGTATGTATCGATGTGCTTCTGTTAGTAGATGAATTATTTTTTCTAAGTGGAATTAAAAAAGCATTAGAATTATAACGGGGTGGAGTATTCTACTTCAAGCAGGAGAGAAGAGACCCTGAGATCTTTGTTTCTTGCGTCTAGATTCAAAAAATAATTTTGTTGCAGCATTATATCAAGATCAATGCAAATAAGTCTTCAGGTGGAACCAAAATGGAATTAGCACAGCATAAGCTTAAAAACGGTGGAGGCTTGAACCCTAGGCATCATAACAAGGACATTAAAAAGTGGGCTCTATTCGTTGTTTCACATTACCAAATTGTACCTGAAATGGTTGCAGTCACGCCTTTGGTATAAAAATGTAGACCTGCGCCGAAATATCCACCGAAATGGCCGAAATTTTCAGGGCAACGGTCCTAAACAGAATGCACACCTGGTTCCGGTGCACGTTAGATGAATAGCGCCTACAACGCTGCAAATTGTCCGCTTTTTCACCTACCAGCCAGGTACTTGCGCTTTCTTACTATTTGTCAAGAATTTACGAAACCATTCCTTAATTCCATGCAAAATAAAGCTTCACAATTTCAGAACTAATAATTCTCTAATATCCGAGATAAGTAACCTTTACAAATGGAAATCAGGTATTATAAAAGTTGAAAAGTTTAAAGTATTTTAATATCAGCATAATAAGCAAAGCAATAAAATTGGGGAATTAGCAATGATGAAATTGCGGCGATGTTGTAGATAAACGGATGCGGGTGTTCTTCAAACCAGGCAATTTGGAAAAACCTTAATTTAAGTGGCAAACAAGCTCAGAAGCACACAATAAATAAACGACTTAACCTGATCAGTCTATATTTGCATCAAAATCCAAAATGAGGCAAAAACACGTTTTATCTGGGTGCAGGATCATGAGATAGGGCCTAGGCCTCACGAAATGCATTTGCCTTTGCATGGGAAAAACAAATATCATTTCACAGAGGAAATCCCCCAACCAATCCGAGTTGGAAAGGCGACGTTTAGTTTGTACAGTGACTCATGAGAGCTTGCAGTAAGCGAGGCAAAAACTGAGCGAATGAGAAGGCAGAGGAGACCGCTAAATCTACCGAAATAGGTTATTCTTATAAGTATGTGTAGTCACCCTCCAAATCGTTAGCTGGAAGTTAGGTATGATGCCTAGTTACACAAAAGGGGTACTCCTTTCGCAGACTGGGTTAGTTTTAAAAGTAGACAAGCAACGTTTACAGTGAAGCGTTACAAAACGTCCACGCTCATGGGCAAGGCCCATGATTCCAACGGTCGGGAAAAAGTGCACTTCTAATTGATTTAGAGGGGGTGAAAAATAAGCCATTTAGCTTTATTGAAAGTCCGATAAAAGGTTTATCGAAATTGGAGTGAAAATTCCGTCTATCGTTAAAATTAAAAGTCCAGATTAGTAGACATAGCATGACACTTAGGCAGAATAGGCAAGCCACACACTTTCACTAATAGACTGGCAAAGACCTTCAGATTTTCCAAACCAGGATTTTGCGACGAGTACACTTTCATGCCTTTATTTGAAATGGAGCTATTGTCTGTCCCACCTAACAGGCGATTTTATGGTAACGCGTGCGTTATAGACCCATTCTAACAGATCAGATAGCATTTGAGCATGGGAAGATCTTCAAACCATGCACACATGCGGCAACGCAGTGGTGTCATGGGAGAATGAAGCGTAGTGGTGATAATAACAAGCTCCCACCAAATCAGTCTGTAAAGTCCGGTTTGCTCGGTGGTATACACTTAGGTGTTTTGTTGAGGATAAGCTTAAGACGGAGATGTGACAAATAAATAAAAAGAAATACGAATAGTGTTGAAGGATTTCCCATTTTCCCTTTTGTAATAATCACCTTTTTGGTTACACCGGTTCCTCTAAAATCGATTTAATGGACTTTTTATCAGGAACTCAGAAAAAAGCCGACCGCTACAGCCACCCGAATGCCTTCTTTTTCCCATACGACATCAGTATCACTAATTTTCCGACCACTTTTCAAGTGCAAGGACATGTCGCACCTACTTTAGTGTTTTAAAATAATGAGAAGCACGATTCATACCTGTGATGCCATGCTCAAAAAAAATAAGAGTACTACATATTTTAGACGATGTGCATCATATGCTGAATATACAGCTTAGCCAAAATGGCAAAAAATGGGAATTTTAAGGTGTAAGTTTTGAAAAGAAATGCAGCTAGTGTATCTAAAGTGTTAGACCGAGTGTAAAAAATAGAACTATGTGCATACACATAAAAAATACCGACTCTTTTTTACTGAGCAAGACAAATGTTCAGACAGAAAAACCAAAATGAAAAAGACGATTAGGGTTGACTAACCGAAAGATACCCTCAGCTTTGGCACCATTGAGACGCAGAAGCTCCTCAGTGAGAAAGATCTGGATCCAAGGTAGACGGAGTGAGGGAAAGCGGCAGGATTGGATCTTCATCATCTCCTCCAAACTGCTTCCAAAAATGCCTGGTTTGAGAAGGAAGTCCTAAACCCGAGACAAAAATGAGATTATTCAAACCCAATACTGGGCTCGCATAGATGAGCAACAAATCAGCGCCATTGCCACTGGTTAAAATGTACCAAAAAATTGGGAGAGGGGTGTGTATTATTAAAAAAATACCAAAGAAAAATAAGGATCTTACAACTTTTAATCACGATTTAACTGGAGAAAAATGATTACCAAGCGACATATATTGAGTTGGTCTATTATGCGGCTAAAGTAAAACAAATGTTTAGATTGAGGTGTCTAGAGCAATAGTGCAAACAAATGAGAGCATAAAAATTGCCGCCGAAATGATAGTCCAGCAAAATGGAAACTATGAAAAAAATCGGAAATAGAGAAAACTTTATCTTATGCAAAAGAAGCGTTTATTTCCAAACAAAAATAATCGCAACTGCATGACACGTATCGTTCAACCGACAAAAATGTGTGCCTCGTTTAAGGAACTTTGGAAGTGTCAACAACAAAACTCGATTTCGCTTGTGTTATTTAAAAGGACGATACCTACTGCAGAATGCAAATAAAAGCATTTGCAATGGTAAGTTTTTCGTGAACTTTAATTTCAAATGCGACACGCTGGCACAAAATTATCTTTTAAGGAAATTTCCCCTAATGCCTCATACAAAGCTTCGCAGAAATCATGATGCCTTTACAAAACACAGCGACCCAACAAAAAATTGGGAAATAAACAAGGCATTCCTTGCTCAATAAATTCATTAACGATTGTAGAAGGAAAATTGGGCTATTTAGTCTGAACAACCACGGTGAATGGCAATTACCCTTCGAAATATAAAAACACTCCCTTTTGATAAGGTAGTACCGTTAATTAGCCCGTTTATTACCTACGATAGCATTTGTCACTCTCAAACGGGGATGATAAAAACTATCAAAATCAGCTTTGAATCCTTTGTCCACAACCTAATGTGACCAGTACTTTCGCCACTAGGAGAAAAGCAACCATTACAGCCAGCTGAATGATATGCTGCCTAAATGTCTGAGCGTCACGTATACGCGACTCCGGGAGTGAACAGACTGAGACGCATATAGAACAATCAACAGATGAGACGCAAGTGTGAAGGACCGACAAGGACAGCACTAATGTCGCATGACCATTATGCAAATGCGAAAAGGCGGAGGGAGGAAGCGCATACGCAGGTTTGCGTGGGTGTACTAAGCGCATGCCAGTGAGTCAACGCTCCAGTGAGAAAGCCGGCAAAAACGGAAAATTGCCTTCGAAACACGGAGTTGAAAAAGCCGACGGTTGTTCAAGCGCCAATCTCGAGGTGGATGCTTCGAAAGAGAGGCAATAAGGTTAGGGACGGCTACCTTGACGATGATTTCTGTGCTCGCCTTTGAAAGATTCAGACAAGAAATTAAGTTGAGCGCGAATTTTGGCAAGAAAATACCAATTTATTTATACTCAAGCAGTTCAAATTCAGCATCTTAAAAGTTACTACAAATAGTGGGAAAGCACTCTAAATGGGATTGGTGGTGCCCATTTTAATTAAAATTCGGAAACCTACGAAATGTATAAAGTAAGCAATGCTTAAAGCGTTTTGAGATAGAGCCAACTTCCCAAGATGAAAAAGGGAATTTCGTCGTGGAACTCCGGGGAGTTTTAAGCATAGAACTATTCCAGAACTAGTGCTCGGTTCATTTTAAATCGGAAAACGAGAAAGGAAAAGTATTGTTGGAATGAAGAGATTTCAAAAGATTATATCTCACCGTATGTCTGTCAAATACTCTTCATTGCAAAAACATCCTCCCGCGATTTCATATCACTACGAAAACTCAACCGCTGCATAATTTCTATATCCTTTTCAAATACTTTAACTCCACCTATTTTCCGGATTTAATTTACAGACTGGTGGGCAATTTGTCATGAATAGTTTATTAGGCATTGCAAGAGCTTGCTGGAATAAGTCTGATGGATGCTAATCCAAATAGGCATACAACAATTCTGAAGAACTAATCAAAATTATAAACATCCAAATCGGAGAAACAGGCTATTTTTGCGCCGAAAAAAAATCGGCGACAATTGTCAATAAAAGTAAAAAAGAACGTAGAAGCGCTAGGTAGTAAAACCGAGAGCAAAAAGAATGTAAAAGTGGTTTTTCGACAAAAAAATACACAGGCGACGATCCGGAAAAACGGATTCTTTTAACATGATTTCAAAGATGTTTAAAGCACAGAGGGAAACAGCGAATTTAACCAAAAATCGAATCAAACTTAGACTAGTAGACCTTATAAAACCAAATTACCATTGAATTTGACGTCAGCAACAGTGGGGACTTTCATTAAACAAAATGAAGTTTACAATTAATGAACATTGGATCTAGAGCACAGAAGTTGCTTCAAGCCCCAGAAATCTGAGAAAGGGCAAAAGAATGCAACAAACACTGAAGTCTTTGGTAGATTTTCCTTCGATAAACAGATCAATGGGGATCTTGACTTGCAAAATATCTAATCGTGAGTATAGGCAGAAACAAAATCCCATCTTGATGTCAGTCGTTTCTTTTTTAAATGGGTTATTAGGAAAAAGGATTCCTTGCACTTTCAATGTACTTAAGTCCATCTCTAGCAACGAAAAAAAAACAAAACGTTTGGTTCGGAAGCCATGAATCATTCCTGTTCAAAATCAAACCTACTACTCTGGGATTGATTGAAGTCAATCGCACTGAGAGCTCGAATAATTCATTGAAAACAAAAAGTTCTGCTTATAAGCGAAGCAGAAGGCATCAAATCCGTTGTTTCTACGTGTAGACTAGCTAAAGTTGACATGCAGTGACCTCCAAATCATAAGTGCAGACGCAAAGAATGTCCTAATTTGACTAAGTGGTTGGCCCAACTTTACAGGTCATTTAACAAATCGAGCCTCCTATTCACTAGCAGCCGGATAAGTGGCACCGAAGTCACTCTAGACGCCAGGGAACCTCAAAAGGAATATCAAAATAAGTTAACTTTCTAATAATCCAAATTACTAGCTTACTGCTCACGAAACCAAGATTACATGTAGTAACGGAACGCACCTTAACATGAAGTAATTCCTCCTTCGAGGGTGGTATTGATGACCGCACTGCTCCCAACGCCACCGAACGCATGAACCATCTCGGTGCAGCACGAGTAAAGTGAAGTGCCGACAGCTTCACCCACGGCCCGTAAGGAAATTCACTGGAGAGCGCGGGATCAGCGCTCGTCTCGCAGATATTTTCACCACCACCGCCGCCGGTGTCAGCAAGCGGCACACCGAAGGCTGGGGTGACGGGAGCGGCGATGAGACCGGTGGGGTCGCTACCAGCAGCCAGAGCCGCCGCTGCCGCCAAGCTAGGTCCAGGGCGGAGAGCTGGAGTGTCGTTCGTGGCGTTGGCTGCAGTGGAGCTAATGGAGGAGGAAAGTGGAGGCGGAGCGAGGGCAATTGAAAGAGCTTCACTCCGTGTCGTAAGGTAGGCGTGCAGCGGGTCACGGAAGACTTTGTTTGGGGGGAAGAAGTAGAGACAAATGCAGATAAGCTCCCATCCGCGCATCAGGCTGTCACTGAAAGAGAGATGGAATTATTGTATGAAACCGTAATCAAAAAAGGGAAATTAAATGTATAATTTATTAAGCCCGAGGTCAATTCGTCTAGTAAACAAGAGATACCGGTCATACCTAGCACAAATTAACTCGAATTTTTTAAATGCTCTATTTGTCTTACTAGGCTCCTTTTTAACCACTTTTCTGTTTTACGGTTTACAACAAAATAGTTCAGACCAGTAATGGCTGAATGGTAGATTAATGAGTTCGCAAATCACTGAAATCTCCCTTTAACGGTTTTTGGTTTTTGGCTATCATAAGTGTCACATCATCACTCACTTTTAATCACATATTAACGGTCCTAGCGATCTTTCGCATTACCGCTCAACTAGGACATACATCTGTTAAACTATGAGTAAGTAAAAAGTAAATCCATGTCATTGTTTGGTTTGAATTCTTTTGTTGAATTGTCCAGAGGACAGGCTCGTGAACTGATAGTGTAAAGGCGATATGAGGGCATTCAAAAAGATAGGGTTGTTTCAATAAACCGCCAAAAAATTACGTTAGAAAGCAGTCCAAAATCG